AAAAATGAAGAGGAAAGCAAATGTTTTGGCCAAATGCATTTTGGGTTTTTGTTTTTTGAACCCCAAATATTTGAAAGCAGTTCAGGCAATCTTACTCAATTCAGAGTGCCATTTAACTCTCCCACGGTGACGAACACTACACACCAAAGTGGGAAAATTCAGCATCTTTCTCTAGTCCAGAACGACACAGACCAACAGAGAGGTTTTCAGAGAACAGTTTTAAAAACACTCAAGAAGTGAAGGTTTTTTGACTTCATTTTTATGGTGCTGGGAACTGAACCCTAGGCTTACATGCTAAGCATGCACTCCAGCACTGAACAACACCCTTAGTCCCAAAGGATTTGATTTTTGAAGAGAAATGACAGGAGGTAGGTATGTGTGGCTTCATTGATGGAAGATGAAGGAGTGAATAGCTACTAACTTATTGGGTTGGGCCCCAACACTGCAGGTTAATGCTAATGACTGAGAAACTCACAATCATTCTTGTTTTGTAAAAACAAACAACAACAATAAAAATAAAACACAGTGCAAAAAAAAACCTCAATAAATTTCTGATTCTAGTCCTATGCACATTGGGACTTGTCAAGAAAGTAAAACTACCTGGCGGTTGGGTGCACTGAGGCCAGAGAACATACCCATGCTCTTCACCTGGACCTTCACCTTGATCACCTGGCCTGAGAAGTAGAAGTGCCTCGAGCCCTCTCTACCACCTGATCAGAGTGCTCACTGACCATTGGGGGTGCCCATCCAGACATGGAAGTCTTGTGACACCTGAGCTCAGTCACCCTAAGGTCCCTCAGCTGTCCTCCAGTTGCCCCCGCTGACGCCTGCGTTTCTCCACCTCTCTGGGAACCGACTTCCCAGCAGGCCCTTGCTCTCAGTTGGCTGTCAGCTCAGGTGTTAGCTAATAAGCAGGGTGTTTGGTGACAAGGATTTAACACCTCCCAGAGGCATTTGCATTTTAATAGGGGACTGTTACAAGAATTCAGACCCCGAAGGAATGAAGTTATGATGGTAAAATGCCGGGAACCAGGGTGGGTATTTCAGAGCAGGGAGCTCTCTCCTTGGATCCTAACACCTGCTTGACTGGCCCTGTCTACAGCTCTGTGGAACGGAACATGAAATCCTTGCTCCTCATCCTGCCTGCGCTAGAGATCAGCTCCCCACGTGAAACAGGCGTTTCTTATCAGCAGAATTCAGAGCTCCAGAAATCTTGATTCTGCCAAATGGGATATCAGTGGAAGCTTCTGGAGAACTAGAGACAGTCAGTCACTCGGGGGCCATTCTTATTGGGCCAGGTTAGATTCTGAGTTGACAGGTACCAGTTGCATACAGTTTCTGAACTCAGAAAACTCACCGTTTAAAAAAGGAGGCAGATCTCAGCAGAGAGGAGCCTCAGGAAAGGAGCCAGTGATTTCTGCTGGGGGGCGGCGAGGCTTCCTCTTCTTCCCAGACCACACTGCTCACCCCGTCACACTGCCTCACTCCTGCTCCTTGCACCCCACTCCCCCTCCCTACACATGCACTTGCACATTTGGGGACTTTTTAAAGTCATACAATACAGGCAACGTCGTTTCAGACATTTTCAAAATGTAAAGAAAAGCACAAAGGAGGAAGCAAAAATAAAAGAAAAAAGAAAATTGCTGATACTGCCAACAGAATTCACCACTATTGCATGTTCTTCTAATCTTTAGATTTAGGGATCTATTTATAATAAGTTAAGGATAATACCTATCTTTTTTAGTTTGGATGCTTCTCCCATTTATCATTTTACTAGAGTGGTCTCATGTTGTTAAACAGTCTGAAAATGTTATATTTCATAATACAAAGGGTTGTCACAAAATAGAGCATTGTGATGGGTTATCAGTAACATAATCTCCCTTTTCTCCTTATTAACTCTCAGGTTCATGGAGAAGAGAACTGTCAAAAAGTAAAAATCTTAAGTACAGGGATATATAACATTTTGGGGTAATACAACTTAGGGAAGGTTTGAAAGTATTTTCATTGACATTAACTCATAAAAATTTGAAACATTACCATTCTTTATATCAGCAATTTTTTTGGGGGGGGGCGGTTGGGGGGTACCCGGGATTGAACTCAGTCAGGAGCACTCCACTACAGAGCCAAATCCCCAGCCCTAATTTTTTTTTTTTTTTTTTTTTTTTTTTTAGAGACAGGGTCTTGCTGAGTTGCTTAGCGCCTTGCTTTTGCTCAGGTTGGCTTTGAACTCACGATCCTCCTTCCTTAACCTTCTGAGCTGCTGGAATTACAGGCGTGTAATATATCAGCCATTTGTGTGTGTGTGTGTGTGTGTGTGTGTGTGTGTGACATATTACCTAAACAGGGTCCACAAATCTTAATGTAAATTTAGGCTGCAAGTCTTTATTGCCTAACAGGGAAAATCTCACAAACCTTATGACTTCTAGGATCATTTTTATCTTTTTCCCTTTGGACGGCAGGATCTCAGGGAACAGTGAGGGAATATCCTTTGCGGGCAACAATATATTTGCCTCAAGATTTTTTCCTCCTTAGCTTAATATGTCTAGCCAACATGTGTCTTATGCTAATTTATTGTCGTAAAGGGAAACTCACATTTCTAAAGACATATTTTTCTTCTGAAAGATGAGCTTCTTGGTTTTCTTAATAGCATGGATGTAGCCAGGCACTTGTCTAAGACAAGGCTTTGTGAACAAATTTTATACTCACAATGAAGAGTCGAAGGAGGTGTTTTTTTTTTGTTTTTGTTTCTTTTTTAATCAGCAAAGAGCATAAACAAGAATCACCTGGAAAGATTGTTTAACAGCTCCAAACCCTATTTTCCGACTCATTAATTCTGGAGTGAGTACAGGAATCCTTATTTTTAGTAACCACTTCAGGGGATTTTAATACTCAAGGCCTATACCTTGAGAAATACTATCCTACTATGTTATATTCTGTTACTGTGACAAAGTACCTGAGAAAATGTAAAAAGAGGAAAGGTCCATCATTTCAGAACAAGAGCATTCAGTGGGCCTATGATAAGTCAGAACATAGTAACAGGGACTGTGTGGTGGACCAAAGGTACTCACCTGTGGTGGCTGGAAAGCCAAGAGGAAGAACTGGCCGTGGCCCCAACATCCCTTTCAAAGGCACATCCCAGTGACTCAAGCGTCTCCCCCTGTTTTGGTGAGCTTTTCTTCTGCTGGGACTGAAGGATCTGACCAGAACAACTGTAAGGAGGAAAAGTTTATTTGAGGGCTCAGGGTTTCAGAGGGGTTAGCGCACAGAGGGCCGGCTCCATTCTCAGGGCTGGAGGTGAGGCTGAACACCGTGGCGGGAGAGGGTGGCGGAGGTGATGAGGAAGTGGAGAGAGACACTCCACTCACTGGATACCGACAGATACCCAGTTCCCAGCTCCTCAGCCACACCCCCACCTCAGTTACCCCTCAACTCATCCCTATCAGGGGGTTAATTCGCTGATCGGGTTAAGACTCTTACAACCCAGTCATTTCTCCCCTGAGCCATCTTGCATTGCCTCACTGATGAGCTTTTGGGGGACACCTCACATCTAAACCATCACACCCACTAAGCCTCCTGGCAAGCTCTACCACCTCCCAATAGAACCAAGCCTTTAACAGGGAACACATGTGTTCCCCTTTAAGGAGCACATCAAAATCACAGTCCTACCAAATAAAGGCTGGGCTCCTTAGCATGGGGTGCAAGTCCCTCCTTAATCTGCTGCCACCGAGCTCAGCTCCCACCACTAGACTGCCCCTTCCACGTCGTCACTGCACCCACTCTCCCCTGGCTGGACCATGGTCGTCCTTCTCCTGACATCCCCTCTGTGGGCCCAGATCCAGTCTTCCCTCCGCGAAACCTTTCCCTGCTCCACAGGCAGAATGAACAGACTCCTTCTCGGTCATTTTAGAACCTGCTGTGTTCATAGCTGTGATCACAGAGTGACCTGTCCTTCTGCTTTTCTGCTAACTGAAGTTCCTAGGCATCTGGGAACCACTGCATCCTACTACAACGTGCCTGGTGCTATCCCGGTGCCCTTTAAAGCACGTTGTATTCACCACTTTATCTCATCCTCCGGGTGTCTCTGTTACGCTCTTGTCACTCCCACAGTGCAGGTGAGGAAACCGTGGCTGAGTTAGGTGAGTGAACAGATAAATGAACAACGTGATGATTTATTGAATGTAAAAACTACGCAGGAGAGCAATAGGGGAGGCAGCCTGTTCCCTAGGCCTGAGTCTCCAGGGCCTCGGGGTGTCATTATTAGTATTTCATAGATTATAAAGATCACGGGCTTTAGGGTGTTTGTGGCCTCACTGAATTTATGTACTGAAATCTTAACCTCTGTGGGATTGAACCCAGGGGCACTTAACCACTGAGCCACATCCCCAGCCCTTTTTTATATTTTATTTAGAGACGGGGTCTCACTGTGTTGCTTAGGGCCTTTCTAAATTGCTGAGGCTGGCTTTGAACTTGTGATCCTCCTGCCTCAGCCTCCCAAGCCACTGGGATTACAGGCGTGCACCACTGCGCCTGACAGGTTAATGCCCTTTTAAAAGAGGCCTGAGGAAGCATGTTTTCCCCTCCACTGTGTGCGGACACAGTGAAGAACTGCTGTCTCCGAGGAGCAGGCCCTAACTAGACCCTGAATCACCTGGCCCCTTGATCTTGGACTTCACATCCTCCAGAACTGGGAGGGAGAAATTCCTGCTGCCTGTGAGCCTCCCAGGTGATACTATTGTGTTGTAGCAGCCTAAAGGGACTAAGATAATGGGACCTTGTAATATAGTATTTTAAATAAAATTATTTAAAAAAAATTTTAATTCAGTTTTTGATATATAGATTGTATAGAAATAATAGATTAGCATTATGTCTTTTCATACTTTATTATTGTTGTTGTTGTTTTTCTGTTTTGGCACTGAGGATTGAACCCAGGGGCACTCTACCACTGAGCTACCTCCCCGACCCTTTTTATTTATTCATTTTGAGACAGGGTCCATCAAGTTGCTAAGGGTCTTCTCTAAATTGTTAAGCCTGGCCTCAACCTTGCAATCCTCCTGGATCAGCCTCCCAGCTAGCTGGGATTACAGACATGTGCCATTGTGGGTATATTTTTTTATACCTCATCAAAAATATCCTACAGAGAGCTTTCATTTATGGGCACATAACACATCCCTTTCCCAGGGTGTCACCCAGAGCAGGCCTTTCCTCTGTTGCCCCAGATAACTCTCAGTCAAGCTCCAGTGAGAAATATTTCAAATTATTTTATTTCTCAGACACAAAACATCATTTCTTTCTCTTGATCAGTCAATTCCAACTCATGCTGCAAAACTCAGGTCAGACAGATCCACCCCAACCAGGGCTCAAAGCAAGAGTATAGTTGAAGGCTCAGATCTTATAGAGATAATTCAGCCTTTGCAGATTCCACAGAAGAATATTGTCGTATAAGAATGAGGGGGTTCCTGGCCCCTGGCTAGTGACCAATGCCCCCAACTCCCTTCTTTCTCTTGTTTGGTTCCCTTTCGCTTGGTATAAGGGGAGACTTGTGCATCTCCCAGTGTGTACCTCGGAGTCCCCATGCACACCCATGCTTTGCCAGCAGACCCTCTTGGTTACCACCCTGAAGCCTAGGAATATACATCCTTGCCGATGGTCCCCCTTGGGATATGACAGGCCCAGAAAAAAAGGTCTGAGTAAGGCTCAGAGAGGGGCTTTGTACAGAAATGGAAGGGTCAGGGAAACCTGGGTGTGGTCTAGAATTAGGAGAGTGGATTCCTTCAAACTTCAGGACCCGGGGCTTTTGCCTGGGGCTACGGGTAGTACTGAATCCCAACAACCCTTTCTCCAAGTTTAATGTCCAGTTAAACTGTCATGGGATCTCTGGTTCTCTTTGAAGCACCTGCAATGCTAATTAAATAATCCACAGTTTAACAATTTGTTGGTGGTGGTACTAAAAAATTCATTTCACAAAGATAGGACTGAATCTCATTTGGTTCACTCCTGGATTTCCATTGCTTAAAGCAGTGTACAGATGTTACTCAATATGGATTTGTTGAATGGATACATGAAGGGGAAGCTCACGGAGGCTTCTAGAAATAGCCTTTTCAAAAAATGTGACACAAACTCTTTTTATTGTACTCTTTCCTATGATCATCATCAACAATTTTACAGAATAAAAGTTTGAATATTAAAAAAGATCTTTTAGCTAAAGCTTTAGTTCTAAAAGGTATATTCACAGTGGGTCTATTGGGGTGAAAGATTTGGATAAGACCGCCAGACACAGGGCCATACAGATATGGACAGTTAAATCCTTTAACGCACTGCCAATTTCACACTACACGTACCTTTCTTATTTCTGGAAAAAATCATAAGATTAGAATTAAAAAAAATTAAACTGTAAGTAAAAAGAATTAAATTTGCCCTTCGCAGGACTGCATGCGATTCCACTTAGAAATCTTCATAAAAATCTTGAGGGGAAAAATCCATTTTGAAACAAAAACAACCCTGGGTGGTGCTTGCAAATGCAGAAGGCTGCTAGAAGCTTCGCCAATGACAACTGTAAGTAATAACATGGTATTAAATTTTATTTTCCATTTTTAAGACTGGACTCTTTTTTTTTTAAACCCAGCAGGTATGTGGACTTACATTTCTAACAGACATTCTGAAAAATAATGTAATAGCTTATTTATCTCAGTGGGTATGAAGATCTTGACCTTCACAAGGAAGGTTCTGATTCATTGAGAGATGAGATCCTTATGAACACAAGGCCCGGTTGCCTTAATTTTAAGTCTTAAGTTCTTTCCAAGATTTTTTTTGTCCTCTTTTTCCATCTTACACATCAGTGGGCAGAGAATTATCTTTTAAATCTGAAAATCTGTTCTCACTTGAAGTTGTTTTGTAGTTCTGAATGATTTAGCAGAGATAATATTGGGCATATATCATTCTTCCCCTTAAAAACACGGAGGGATGACAGGGCCACTTCAGCCTGGAAACCACTTTGGACAATGACCATCATTTTTTTCACTGAAAACTCTAGCCTAAGCCATGGAAACTCAGAATGTAACAGAAATAAACCCTCTTGCTTTATAGCTTCTGAATTTCCCAGGAACTTAAACCTCTGCCATGTATTCTCTCCGGGAAAAGACCAGACAATAAACATCAGGATCAAGATATTAAAATAAAACCAACCTGGTCAATACACAATGTAGTAGAAGACACTCACTCTCCCGCTAGCCCTCCTGTAACTGGGCTTTCTCAGCCTTAATCCATTTGACACTTTGGGTTGGATGACCGTAATGCAACTTACCTTCTTTGGCTCCTAGTTTTAAAAATTATGATAAAATAGATACATGACATTTGCATTGGGCATTGAGTACAGTTACATCACCATGCAACCATCACCCTCTTCCATCTCCAGAATGTTTTCATCTCCCGCAGCTGAAACTCTGCACGCATTAAACCATCATTCTCCAGTATGCCCAGCTCCCAGCTCTTGGTAACCATTTCATTGATTTACTTTTTAGTCTAAAACTACCCAAATCCTTGGGGCAATTATGAAGCGTAATGATGCATGACTGTATGTGTGTGTGTGTGTTTGTGTGTGTGTGTAATGATATCGCCATTAAGTTAAAAGGGCAAGAACTGGGTGTCTTCCTCCTCATACATGAGGGTGTGTTCAAGCAGGCTGTGCTTCCCGACTTCCATCCTTCCCAACCCCATTGTTGAGCCTGGAAGGTGAAGGAGGTCGATTAAGATCCTCCTGCCTTGATTTCCTTACCAACCAAGAAGGATTCGATTACAGAATTAGCACAGACGACTTGAGGATGAACAAGTTAACAGACATGAAGTGCTAGGACTGACCCACACTCCACGAGGACCACCAGATGAGTTGTGGATCTAAAATCTTAGGGCAAACCAGTGTAGGCATTAGCTACCTCATTCCCTTGTCCTCCCCTTGTGAAAACTGATATCTAACTTGTCGTGTAATGTTAGCTCCGTGAATCCAAATTTCATTTGCATCCTCCTGGACCAGAATATGAAATGGATAGTGACTAAGAATGTGGCTCAAATGCATATCGTGTGTGCAGATGTGATTGGCTGCTGATGCTGTCAGCAGACTCTGGGCTCTTGTTTTGAGAGCTGCTGCCATTGTGTTGCAGGTGCTGGAACACAAACTCCATCTTCCACTGAGCTCCTGTGCTCCTTTCTTCAGTATGTGAGCCCCAGGCATGTTTCCTTGTTCAAATCTTTATGTGGTCTACCTAGAAGAAGGTGTTTTCATCTCCAATCTGCAAATGAGAAAATCGAGGGTGAAGGAGTTTCGGGAATTAGTAAATGACAGGTCAAAAGTCCAGTTTGGTCATATTCCCTACATAATGTTGCTTCTAGGTCAAAATGTAAATTCTGAGACCTGTGGATGTGGTGATGATGCATAATGAAATAATATCATATCACAGAGCACTATATCATGCACAAGATATTCCCAAATTCATGCACTGACTATTTTATATAGGGTACTTGCAGTCTGCTAATTTTAGTTTACCATGTGCAACATCACGTGTACAATTTAACTGTGGTATTTGGTCAAGGCAAAACTCCAATTTATGAATAGTATTAAGATTATTTATTTATTTGCCTTGAAATTAGTGATTACAAAGCAATCTGTATAAGACTCTAGCTTTCTTTCTGCTCATTACTTCAAACTTGAAGACCTAACACATAAAATGTATAAAATATATATAAACTGGTTGACCTTGAAAAGTCCACTGTTTGAGATTGGTGCAAAAACAAATTAAAACTTGAGGAGAAAAAACAAAACATACCTGATCGCTTGTTGCTTTCCCAAATTTTGACATGTTTTCAATGTAAAAAGAAGTTTTCTAAAGAAAGCTTGGTTGGTGGTGGTAGGGGGGAAGAAACCTCGAGAACTCCACAATATGCAATTTGCGTCATTTGCTTTTCTAAATTGTTGTTCCTCGCCAATGTCAATAAACTGCTGTAAGTGGTTTAGCATGTTTGGTTGGCTGCACCTATGTATAAAATAAACAACGTGTCTAGTATTCTCTTTACAACCGATGACGGTGGGTTCAGTATAACGACCCTATATAACCCTTAATGAGGGAATAATGAAATTTACCTTGCACAAGTATCAAAAAACAAACATGTTTCCCTGTTTATTGCCTGGGTCCGTGACTGACTTCCCCATTCCTGTGTAAGAATTTTATATGTAGGATGTCTTAAATTCCACTCCACATGCCAAACAAGCACTTTAAATCCTGTGCTTGTCTTGTCTGGAATGACATCAGTGTGATCCATTTTTTTTTCTCCCTTCTAGGACAGTGTCAGCAGGGATTCAGAAGTTAATCAGGAGAGTGCAAGTCTGAAACGGCTGAATTAAGACAAGATGTTTGCACCGAGAGCTAGCACGAACGGGGTGCTATATGTAGTAACTCGTTAAAAAAATGTTATGCACTGAGGTATTTACATGCATTTTCATAAGAATCTTAGTTAAAATTTTAAATTATACAAGTGAGCCTGAAGAACCACAACAGGCCAGACGTTGGGAAAGAGTGTCAGAAGAGATCCCAGAAAGCAAATTCATTTTTCAAATTATGAAACCTAGTATCAAAGGAACAATTTTAGTTTTGTTCCTTTTTAAAGGGAATAATAATAAGCCAATAATGCCAATATATAGTAGATTCTGGTTATCTTAAAAACTAAAGGTTTTTGTTTCAGGGAAAAAAAAAATGCAAAAGTTAATTACTTTGTTCTGTGAGAATCTTAGTGAGTCTTAAGATGGACCAGAATTTTAAAAAGTGGGGTGGGGAGGGGGACTTTTAATAAGAAGGTTTGGAAAGCCAAGTTTATGGTGTCCTTCCAAGCTGGAGAAGTCAGGAAGAATGTTCTTTACCAAGAAAGGGATGTCTTCTGGAAGAGAGTAATCAACCTAGATTCCTTCTACTGGGCATGAACATCAAAGTTCTGGGGGTGGTTCACAGAAGAGGAATCTGCATCCATACATTTGGCCAGATTTTTGGCACCTGGTTACAAAAGATTGAGCAACAAAAAGCCTGGCTTGAATTTCATTAAAATTAAATATTAAAAGCATACTCTTACAATTAGAAAAGTCCTTTGATTAAGACGGCTTCTTAGTACATGCATGGCTTCTAGAACTTTCTTTGTTCGTTTAATTGGAACACTTGCTGTTTTCATCCCTCTGTCCAGCCATGGCAGTCTGTCCCCGCAATATTTTTTGAAGAACATCTAATTCTCCATAAAACATCTAGCAAAAGAAAAAAACACATGGTTTTCCAAATGCTTGTCAAAATAATAAAAAGCAAAGGAATTTTGTACCAAGTCTTTGTCTCCTTGTGCACTTAAATTTGATTAGATGTGATGCTAATGATTAGGTAAACATGAGTGATGATAAATGGTTATTTGTTAAGCTAATTAATGGCATGAATGTGACTTCCCAAAGCAATCCCCTTGACACCCTGTTGCAGGTTTCCAAGGAAGCCTGGGTTTTCCATCCATTCCCAAGGAATTTGAAGGGAGACACCCATTTTTGCCAGTGGTTTAGCTAGAATTAAAATTAATAACTTTTTGGCCCACTGCCTCCACTCAGACCGTTCAAAATGTTTCAGTATTGCACGAGTCTTCCAGATTCTCAGTTGAGAAAAATGCAGTCTGTACTCTTGGCCTTGGACGTTGGAACCTTCAGCCGGGAAATGAGTGCTTCGGGTTTTCCCAGCAGCCCTGAAGTCCCCACAGGTCAGCAACCTCAGCAGCTAACCTCTTTCTCCAGCCACCGTGGAGAATGCATTGGTCAATGTGGCATCAATATATCTCTCAGGCCTCATTTCACTCTAATCAGGTCAGACAGTTAATTGTTTTTCCTACAACCTTTTTAATTTTTCCATATTAACATAAAAGATAAAGGCCAGCACAATAAAAAATAAACCATATGCCTTACATCTAGATTCATCAATTTTTCACATTGCACCTTATTTTCTCTCGGTCTCTCTTATTTGTTTTGAAAAAACAGCCTCTACTTCAGAGCAAAGCCTGTCCAAAGAAGGGACATCACCTTTGTCCTTGGAAAAACCCACAGAGCACTCCTAGGCACATCCCCACCCTGCTAAGTTGGCTAAGTTGTTTATCTACAAATAACAGGAGAGATCTGCTGCACCAGGTGTCCCTGACTCAGTCAGGCTAGGTGGGGACCCATAGCAACCCACTAGCAGCCACCAATCAGCATGAGACAGGGAAAATACCTGGGATGCCAGATGACCCTCCCAGTAGTTTATGGTGGTTGATAACATGTTGGGAAACCATGTAGTTCAGCACGTACACCCCTCTTGGCTTAAACCAATCAGTTCAAACGAATACCCCTCTTATACTGACCAATCACCCCTACCCAACTCGTTCCTGCCAGTGAATGTGTTAATCATGTTTTAGAGTTGTTATTTGATTTTTCCGAGGTGTGTGATGATTTGCTAAGAGACGCTATGATGTATATGAAGTCCCTGCCTTCTCCAAAGAATGTATAAAACTGCTGCAAACCCTGGGCCTCTCAGTGTCACCAGTTGCTGTGTGTGCGCGCGGAGGACTGAGCTAGCTCACAATAAACACCTCTTTGCTGCTTACATCGATCATGGTCTCTGGTGGTCTTTTGGGGGTCCCGAATTTGAGCATAACAGTTTATGAACTTAAGTGTTTTTGCTGAACCATTTGCAAATGAGTTGATGCTCTGACACCTCCACTCCAGCATCTTATCATGAATTTCCTAAGCCTAAGGATATAACAACAGCACCACTACCCTATCCTCCCAAATTCATGTCTATGACCTCATTTTATATGGAAGCCAGGTTAAAATCTCCCCAATTGTTTCTTGAATGTCTTTTGTTTGATGATTGATTGATTGGGTATAGGACTCAATCAAAGTCAATGCCTCGCATTGTTCGTTGTTCAACTGTAAGAGCTATTGCATTTATTTTAATGCAGAACAGGTCCACCATGTTTTGTTGTTGTTGTTACCATGATCCCTCATGACACAGTTGGGAATAGCAAAGTGGTTATTCTATTATTATATTACTAACTTCATTTGTTAGCTGAAACTCTACTACAAAGAAATTTTGTGTTCTGTCTTATTTCTTCTCTACTAATATTATGAACCTATTTTTTTTAAAAACATTAAGTGTATTACAATCGATGGCCAACATTGTTCTTTTTGACTTCAAAAATTCTAAATTTGGTTCGTGGGAGGCACTTCAGGAGGGCTCCGGCGCTTCTTCAACACAGTCCTTGAGTATATGAGTGATGCTGTTTTCTTACACTACACTGTCCCTTTTAATTTCCTTGTCCTATACTTGGAATTAGCTATTACTGTACAGTCATAATATTTTGCATTTTTTAAAAAAAACGATGCATAGCAAACAATACCTGAACACTAACATTGTTGTTTCCATTAAGACGTTGTTATTTCTAGCTGCTTTTAGCTAGACCAATGCTAGATCGTATGCAAATTATGGGACTCACTTCTATGACAACTATAATTCATATAACAAGATTTTTAAACCTGCTTATAAAATTTTATATCATTATCTCTTTTAGTTCAAATCTTAAATATAGTATTTTTAGTACTTGCAGTAAAATTGACATTTAATCCCGAAATTATTTTTTGTGTATCTTACATCACGTATTAAAATTTCATTTCAGTTCTTTTTATCCCTGCACTATGTCCCAGAGAGTTCGTATGAAGGAGAGGAATTGCATTCAAAAGTTGTTTTATTTTCTCCATTTGATTATGCCTATGATTTTAAAGTGCTTTTACTGAGGTACACTTTACCTATGGCAAAACTCACCCTTGTGGAGTTCTACAAGTTTTGATGATTGTGTACAGCCACCGAGGCTGGGTGCAATCCAGCTCACAGAGCATTTCCATCACCCTCTTAAATTTCCTCAGACTCTCTTCTATTCGATTCCTTTCTCTAGTGCCTCAGTCCCCAGCAACCCTTCACCTGTCTTCTGTTCCTATGGAGTAGTCTTGCCCAGAATGTCACATAAATGGAATCATATATCAGGTAGCTTTTGAGTCCAGCCTCCCTCATTTAGTTCCGTAGTACAACTTAACCCACGCCGGGCAAATCAGCAGACTGTTTTCATCCATGGGTGGTACTCCACTGTATGAATGTACTACATATTTTTGAAATCAATTAAAAACATTTGTATAATAGACATGATTTTGAATAAAGTCACCACAAACATTTATATGGACATAGATTTTTATTTCTTTGAGATAGGAGTGGAATTGCTAATTTTTATTTGAAGTATATTTTTGACTTTGTCAGAAACTATCAAATTACTTTCTAAAAAAATCTGTTTTTTATTTGTGTTCCTACCAGCAACACATGGGAGTTCCAGTTGCTCTACACATTGACGTCAGCACTTATTATTGTCAGTTTTGGTTTGTTTGTCTCTTATTTTTATTTTTTTAATTTATTGTTTGTTTCCATAATAATAATTGTATGGTGAAATCTCAAAGTGATTGTGGCTTATAGTTCTCTAAAGGCTAATGTAAGGGACCGGCGAACGACGGAGGAAGAGACCACCAAGAGACCGACTCATGCAACAGCAAAAGGGGGTTTATTGCAGATCCAGCACGCTGGGGCTCCGTGCTCACTCAAGAAGGGAGAGCGGCCAAGAGCCCCGAGCAGGGGTTAAGCAGTGCTTAAGTACACTTTTTGGGGAGGGTGGGGGCTTTGCATACATCAGAGCAAATCATCATGAGGCACGGGTAAATCGAACAACAACTCTGAAACATGATTAGTACATTCATTGGTGGGAACATGTCGGGCGGGAGTGATAGGTCAGTCCTAAGGAGGGGGATACATTCAAACTGATTGGTTTAGGCCCTGAGGGGCCTATGTGCTGAGCTGCACTGGGTCCAAGTTGTTAAGCAACTAAGTGGTCAGGGGGAATTCCTCCACGTATCTAATGGGCAGTCCTGGGAATTGTCTTAACAGCTACAGGAATTTCGAGCTTTGAGTGTAGCTTAGAAACTTAACAATACCGGGTCCTTTACATTTTAACTCAGGCTTTGCAGCTTAGAAACTTTACAATACCTGGTCCTTTACATTTTAACTTCAGTTTCTTTTACTCTTTCAGCTAATAATATTAAGCATTGTTTTATGTATTTATTTGCCATCTGTATATCCTCTTTGATGAAGAATCTGTTCAAACTATTTTCCCAAGTTAGTATTTTTAAGTTGAATTGCTGAGTTTTGAGTTATTTATTTGTTCTGAATACCAGTTCTGTATCAGATAGATATAGTTCTACATCACATTTGTTTTGCAAATGTTTTCTCCAAGTTTATTTATTTATTTTTTTAACAGTTTTCGGAAAAAAAAAGTTTTTCATTTTATAAAGTCCACATAAGCAATTTTACCAATGATTCATACATTTTGTGTCCTACATAAGAGTCTTTGCTTATCCTACTATGAAAAATTTTCTACCAGATTTGTTTCAGTAATTCTATACAAGTAGACTTGACATTAGGTGTATGATCTACTTTTTAGATAATATTTGTAAGTGGTAGAGATTAGAAGCCATAATCATAATTCATTTATTTACACAGGGATGTCAAATGATATATCAGCGTATAGCATTGGAATACCATATACTAAAGAGGATATTCTTTCTATATTGAATTTACTTGAACCCTATTGCAAAAAGCAATTGACCATATATGAGAAAAACTATTTTTAAAATATTTATTTTGTTTCAATATTTATGATATTTCTATTATTTTATCCATACCATACTGTCTTAATGATATATTTCTAGTAAGTTTGAAATCAGGTACTCTTAGTCTTACAACTTTTTTTTTCAGAACTATTTTGGTTATACCTTGCTTTTCTGGTTATTAATTTCTATTCTGTAATAATTTCTCTTGTCAACTTCTACAATAGTAGCCTACTAGAAATTTGGTTGGTATGTCTTGAATCTATACATCAATTTGAGGGACAACTGACATATAAAAAAAATGAGTGTTCCATTCGGTAATATCTTGATTTACTTGGATCTTCTTTGATTTCTGTTATCAATTATTTTAGTTTTTGATACAGGTAGTCACATATTTGGTTATATATATGAATTTCATATTTAAATTTCTTTTGTTAAGATTTTTCTTTCTTTTTTTAATTTCTTTTTTTTAAATCTTTGGTGGGGAGGGTACCAGGGATTGAACTCAGGGGCACTCCACCACTGAGCCCCATCCCCAG